TAGAGAAAATGGAGGTGATGAAGATAACCAACGAACCTCAGCAACAAAGGCAACCAGAACCAATCACCATCAACAAGGGATACTTACCAGAGGTTACTTCCTTCACTTATCTAGGCAGCAGACATCATTTCAACTACAGGCGGAACGGATGAAGATGTCAAAGCCAGTCAGAATCAGAAAGACGAGATACGCCTTCATCAACCTGAAACCAGTTTGGAAATCTTCTGCACTCAGCATAAGGGACAAGATTCGGATTTTCAACACCAATGCCAAGTCGGTCAGCTCTTCTATACGGGTCAGTAACTTGAACTGCGTTTAATTCACAAAGAGGATTTCCAACAGGTTGCAGAGTTCCATCAACAGCTGCCTGCTTCACTGGCTGGCTCCATACTGAAAATCAAATGGCAGACCAGAAATAATAAGTAACAAGAAACCGTGGGAACTAACCAACCAAGAGCCGATCACTCCACAAATATGTAGGGAAAATGGACATAGGTTGATTCAGCATACTTTGAGGAGACCGTCGAATGATGTCGCGCGCAATGCAGGCCATCGCTTGAGTGGAATCTCAGTGGGAAGCGATGAGTCAGTTGTCCGTGGGTGGCATGTAGAAGATCGTTTCAGGAAGAGATGAGACAGGATGACAGAAGATAGAAGAAAGTGGAGATGTGTTGTTGTTCCACTTGGAACCGAGAGGAACAATAATAATAATACGTAATACCGCGTGCGCTTCTGGTCTTTCTAGAGGCTAGGATAATTGTGTTCGGTTTTCCTGAGAACTGGTGTATAATTATCCAGTAGATGTGCAAATAATCATCGAAATCTACTAGAGTGTACAGTTTTAGTGCCAGTGAGCTTGATGTGTAAACACTGAGATGTAATTTATAATTGATTAATTAATTTATAATTCCGTCCTCATGTCAAGATTGTCAGAAAGAATAAGGAACTCCTGAAAGGAAGCAAACAAGAAACTACTGGCCAGCGACTATTCAGGAAGAAATGAACATGGGTTGAACACACTGAAGAGAAATTCAAATTTTCATTCCAGACCATCGAGTGGAACATCGAATGGCATTTGATAAGTCGGGTGTCCGAGGTTATCATGGAGATTATATGATGAGAAGCTTGGAGCATGTGTGGACATTTCTGGATGTAGTTGAAAATAATAGCAGAGCACCGACTGCAATGGAAACATGCTGCTGTGTTCCACTTGGGAAGCAAGAAACGAGGTATAATGATTACTGCAGATTATCACTGTCTTACTTTGTTCGTCGTTAAAATAATAATTATTATTTGGAAATCACTATTAAATTACTTACACTTGCAAGCTTCTTCTGCACTTCTCATGCAGTTTTATTCTGTCTTCTTCTCTCTCCACAGGGACTGCTCTGGATCACTTCACTGAGACAGTTCCATCATCCTTTAGATTAGTGATACGCAAATGCAGCACTGAAACCACTGGAATTACACTTCGGAGATATTTAAAACATGGTTGGCACATCTGAATGGAAACAACCTTCATCAAGGAGTCGGTTAATCAATCCGAATCTGTGGCCATGTAACTGCCAACATCACAATATGACGTGTGCTTAACACCACAAGAACCAGTAATGCCCGTTGACATTGAAGCCTTTGTGTTTTATCTTAGCAATAATGATCTTAGAGAACCACTTAAGTCCTGATAACCCAAACAGTTGAGACTAGCAAGTGAAATTTACAAGCGTTAGGTAAAATATGGATTCAATATGTGACATAGCCCATTATGTTGGAACCTATTCGACTGAAGGTCAGTTTCGTCAAGCGTCATGTTATTCATATTCTTTTCGACATCTTTGTTTATTTCAAACAATACTGATCCCAATTTCTTAGTGAGAATTACTATCACGATTACAAACAATTATTGGTAGGGTCCACACGTTGATGCTTGCATAAATGACTTGTTTCTTTTCAAGAATTAAAATTATTACTATTTTAAACCAACAGGAGTTACTCATTTCTTAGATTTCATCAACCTATTGTATCTACATGGGAAAGAGCGTATGACTCTCAGGAGTTGTGAGAGTGGGTCTCTAACACTGTGTTTGTGAAAGCCTAACTTCAGCTGAAACACAACTCGCTGTGTCAGTGTATCGTTCGGTTGGATACGAGCACGTTTTGCAGTCTGGTTACGAAATGATAATTTAAAAAATTAGTATTACAAGAGACACAATAAACAAGACTCAGTATATGAATGATAGTTATTTATCCGCTTATCATTTATAATAATGGCTATGAAGATAATACAGTCATTGCTATGGAATGGGAGCGATGTCCTCCAACTGAAATGGACTACTTTGCCGCCTGCTATAAGGAGTTAGTAAGGCAAATCTTCAGGACAATTAAGTGGTCTAAAATGAGTCAAGAAGTCGCAGTCATTCAAATGATACTTGACAAAATTTCTTTAGCATAATCAGTCCACCAAAATGGTGACTGCTCGTGTCCGTGGTTGAGTACTGATACAGCTAGTATCTATTTTTTGTGGACTTATCAACCACCTAGTGACGAGATTGTCCCACTTACAAACAACATTCCTATTCATGCTATCACTAACAGTTCCACCTTGTCTTTTTATTCAATCATCCGTCTGTGTCTGATTTCTCAGTCGTTTAGCTTCTAATTGTTTCTCCCTCTTTTCATCAATTTTCTAAATTTGGTATCAATCGGCTCACTCGTTCCAATCTTTGTTTTTACTTCTTACTGTTTCCTGATTGAAGAAAATAGAAACATCTCCCCACATTTATCACTACGGACGGGACAATAGGTTAGCTGTACGCTGGAAACTCCTGAAAACAGATGTCACAGTGATTTTATGGTTCTGCATTGAAAACCTTATTGTGTCAAGTAACAGTTGATTTGGTGACAGGATTTAACGAAAAACCGAGAATTTTCATAGAGAAAATTATTCGCCTCCCATTCTTATCCTTGAATTCAAATATTAACATTGAGTGTGACCATTTGTAACTGTTTCGATGAGAATTTTCTTGAGAATTGGTAGTCACAAAAACCCTCAGTCACTGGAATACATAAAAGTTCATTAATATATCTGATGTTTTTGGCTAAGAGTGTTGCTACGCAAGCGAACGAGCAGACAGATGAGCTTCAGCAGTCGATGCACGAGGGTGTTACACTGTCTTTTCTCTCCTTAATTGACGGTACCTCCCATAACTCTTAATACTGACGACAAATCAACACTAAGCTTACCATAATCACTCAAATTTTTTGATTGGCGACAGAAGGTTTTTCTAGGAAATACCTGTGACTGCTTGATCTCTTCTTGAACGCGTCAACTGAGGAAATAGATACCACCTATTCTAGCACTTGGTTTCTAGATTTTATGAATCGATGGAAGAAATGGTTCCCACAGCAATATAGTTCCCCCTCGTTTTCCGAAGCTTCCTCCTGTTTCTCTTGAAATGTACATATGCGTGGGGACGAAAAGACAAAAAATACGTCAGGTTTCCAGATATAGTGACACTGTAATGCTACCTCCTGTCTACCTATAGTATGATAGGGGGAAGAGATTCAAAGGATTATGTTTTTCTAGGATTATAAAATAGTCAAAACAAAATTCGTACGCCTGGAAGTCTTTTGGTGTTCCTTTATTATGTGTGAGACTGTCTTGAGACAAAGACTGGCTTTCTGGATGAAGTTTTCTAGTTTCGAGTTTACCAGAAATTCATATGAATTATTCGAGACGTGGCAGGTGATTCTAGTTAAGGTGGTGCGTATTCCCCATAAGGATCTAAAACTTCTAACTACCACCACACAACAATCAGCCGAAGTTTTATAGTCATGGCTTGACATAAGACACGTTAACCCATGTGTGTGTGTGTGTCAACTGTTGGCAGTTGTATTCCATCCATACAAAAACGATATACTACTGACTGGTTGATATAAGTAGTTGTACATCGCTCACATCAACCACTACTGTTTGTTAAACCATGGTAACCATATTCAACCAAAAAGTACAAATAATCAAATGAAATACTCATGTGATTGTGTGATGATTCTGTTATTAAATATCAGATGATATCAAAGTCCATTTCAGTGTTAGCATAAAATCTACTGAGCTTGAGGTAACAAAGATACTGCCAAGACCAGAGGAATCATGATTTTTAATTCTGCATTGTTCTTGATAGCACTTCTGCTGAATACCTCAATTTATGCAATAGCGTTAGTCCCAAAGCCGTCAAGTTACGTAAAATCTTCGACAGTTTGCCGTTAAAACGCCCACTTGACATCCGATACAGCTATCCCGCATGCAATATATTGTCAGGAGCTGTGACGAGATTTCAAACGCGTCTGGAATTGAAACATCTTCCGATTTCCGAAAAAGTTGAAGTTGCATGCAATATAACCACTCTGAATATCAAAGTGGGATGTGAATGTGACGAAAGACATGGGCAACTATGGCCCAATGCATCAATTGATGAATCATGTGAGTTGTACCTAAACGACTAATTCAATCACCACTTTGCAGATAATGTGGAGATAGAAGAATCCCAAATTAGCATAAAATCCATTGAGGTTTGGGGTGCTTTACACGCCCTCGAGACTATACTTCAATTGGTGTACAAGGGAGAAGATGGAGCGGTGAGTTTCGTTTTTACCTATGGCTTGATTTTCTCAATTTATTTCATTCATTACATAGAATGTTATATTTAAAGGATCTTTGATGGACGAACCACAATTCGAACACCGTGGAATGCTGGTAGATACTGCGAGGTACTTTTTGCCACTCGATGTCCTGTAGAAACTAATAGTAGGGATTGTAATAGTGTGATGCTTTCTCTTACCAGGATAGCATGGCCATGGTGAAGATGAATGTGTTTCATTGGCATATTACAGATGATCAATCATTTCCCTTTGTCTCAACCACTTGTCCAAAACTGTCAAAGAAGGTGAATAAGATGAGAATCAGGTCATTTATTGATCGGAATGTTTGTTTAAACTACAACAGGGTGCATATCATCAGCTGAAGTGCACGTATAATGAAGATGATGTGGAAAAACTGTTGGACTACGCCCGTCAACGTGGAATTCGTGTCATTCCAGAGTTTGATACTCCAGGTAGATAATTTTAAATATATATTTAATATGATGTAATTGTCCATCATGTGAGTTGAAATGAAATAATACCATGCAGAGATTTGAATGAGTACAAACATGCTCTTGGAACGATGATGAAAGTAAACTGTCTATCAACCAAGTCAAAGTAGTCATCATAAATATAGGGTAGTTTACGCATGATTTCGTGTTTGAAGGTATGTTGAAGCAAGGAGATTATCAAAGGCTTTCAACTTTGCTGAGTTACCTATCAGGTTTAATTTTGCTGGAAGGTGTTAACCCAAGGCGGTTTTCAAAAATCCACAATAAAAGATAAAATCCACAATAATAAGATATCCAAGGCTTGTGATTCTGTTTAGTCGTCTAATATAATCCAGATAATATGGAGAATTATCGTACTAGTGAACAACGTGAATATCATTGGTTCAGTGTTTGCATTCAACGTCTTAAACTTGATACTTGAATGGATCAACGTAGTTAACGCGAAATACATGTGTTATATGAGTTGAACAGTGTATAATTTCAGACAGTAGAATAGGAATCAATCGCAGATGGTGAATCCATTCATCATCGTATCTTGTATTGCAACGACGTTATTTGTCGAAATATTGTAAGGATGATTTCCATTGACTGTCACAATCATCTTTTGTAGCGCATACATTGTCATGAGGGAAAGGATATCCAGAGTTACTAACAAAATGTTATAACGGCAATAATGAAAATGGAAAGTTGCGTCCATTGAATCCATCCAATTCATCGTTGTATGAGTTTTTGGAGAAATTCTTTGAAGAAATCGTCCGCAGATTTCATGACAATTACATTCACCTTGGCGGGAATGAGGTTGACTATGAGTGCTGGTGAGTTCTGTTGATTTTATGCAAGAGTAAATGAAGAATCAATGTTATGACATCGCCATGTTTTCATTACCAACTGAAGACATACTTTTCTCTGTCTCAGATTAACAGACGCTGAACTAGTCTCATTTAAACAACTTTCTCATCAACTCAACTGAATTTCATTAAATATTCCTTAGCAGTAACAGGGGAAACAGCTGTAGATTTAAGCAATAGGAAATGTCATGGATGCCAGTTTCAATGCGACCCCGCCTCATTTAAGTTCCCAATTTGTAGATTGACTAGTAATGGGGAGAAAACACCACCTATAGTGGTGTCACAACGTCATTTTGAAGTTTGTGCTGAAGATGTCTGATAACTTGCATCAAAAATCGTGTGTGTACATTGAACAGTGTATAACAACCTTTGGCCGTCTCCAACCCTGAGTGACTGATTTACCAAAATATCATTTTGTATTAAAGTGTCCATTATCTGATATTACCAGCGCGTTGCAAAACATTTATTGCAACCGAACATGGTAGCCACAAAGCGCCTGTGAAATTTAATCTCACATTATTCCTCTTTTGATTGGTTAATATAAACGAATGAAGACAACTGTCCATAAGGCACGACTATTTCTTCTTCTTCTTCAGTGGAACACTGAATATTACAGCACCCATCTATCTCATTCTCTTCCTTCCATTGAGTGGAATGGAAAATCCTCATCAACAATCTCTGATCAAGTTGTATTTTAACAATTAATTCATGTAGATTAACGGAAGACTTGATGTTGCTGCTCCTTATTTGTGGGCAGTTTAAATTGAATCATCGACAAGAACAATGAACAAGTAAAATTCAAGTCCTCCTGTTCATTTAAGGAAGTCGAATAAAGATATAGTTAGATTCACGGACGACAAGGGATTCGGTGAGGATTATTACCAACTACATAAATATCATCTGGTGAAACTTATTGAGATTGTTAAGAACATGACGACGACAGACCCTGACTTACCGATCACTCCTATTGTCTACCAGGAGAGTTATGCTGACGAATGTGGAGTAAGTTTTGGAAAATATGTTTGTATTTAAATAAATATACTCGATATTCAGGGACGATTATCTCTATCCCACTGACGCAACATTATCAGTCCTTTTTATTTGATCGTAAGGAGGATTGTTGTGATTCAGTCATATATTTATTTTCAAGTTATTTTATTTCATGTCTAAAACATTTGATCCATGTTGGCTGATTTGGTGTCTAGAGATGAAATAATCCATCTATGTCATCACCATCAGGCAAACAGATCTAGGTCGCATAATGCTGCGTTTGGGGGTTACTCCATGTATGGTGATAGGAGAATATTTTCTCCTATTACTTGTCCAGTGGAGTCTGTCTTGCTGAATCTGGCTAAGCTCTCTCACTCTCACAACTCAGTCGACCTCAATACAACAGAATAATCCCTTTGCTTGATCGTGAAGTCATCTGGTTGTATTTGATCAATTGAGTTATTTCATGTGATTATTCAGTTTGGACAGGGCACAGGAGTTCACTTCGTTAATGAAAATTTTTGTTCTCCATATCTCTGTGATGAGTGTCTGCTAACACGTGGGATCCCAGACAGACACACTGGCTTGTGGCTTTGCCCCCATTTCCAGTAGTTAACCTGTCGTTCAGTAGAGTGATCATACAACTAGTTTCCAGTTATGATCGCTACTCATCTTGAAAATTTACTAGATAATTAAAGAACACAGGTGATTTAATTTCATTCTTCGGTTGAATAAATCTAACGTGTTCCATATTTTGTCAATGTCAAATATCTGACGAACCTCTGAAAAGAGGCATCAGAAAATTCGATATCTGGAGCAAAATGACCTTAAGCAGTCAACCTGTATACGAAATGTTTCATCGGTTAGATAATGTGCCATCCCCCAGTTTTAGAATAACAACCGACCGGTGATACGTTAGAAATTAATCCTAGTAGTTATATCAGTTTGAGGTTCGTACCACCAACTTTACTAATGTGTCATTCGGTTTAACAGATTGACCTCGATACAACATTCATGTCTGGAAAACTGTAGATTGGGAAAAACACGTCTACAATGCCACTCTAGATGGATATAAGGTTATAGTTTCTGGTACATGGAATCTTAATGACATACAATCTGATCTTGATTGGATGAGATATTACTCACAGAATATCAGAGATTTTGGAGGTGAGTTAATTCTCACGTGGTCTAAAAGAAACTTATGTGTTGACGATATTTATCTGAGTGTGTTCCAAGTTCCACTTTGCCTGTGTCATTCAACGGTTTTGAAATGAACATGGATTCACAATGACTGCAGTGACTGCGCTGTTTCTTGAGTGACAATTGTGAGTCGTTTGACTTTGTACAGTATGTTGCCATATTAACAACAAAATATATATACATATATAATGGAAGTCAATGGGACATTCACAATGAACTCAGAAGTCTGTCATTAATGGATTTAGGAAGCAATCGTGATTTGTAGATCTAGATGGTGATTTAGGTTTCCTAGTTAGGAATTTATCCTTGACCTGCTATGTGAGTACCTCTCTAGTTCGAAACGAAGTACTAGTTGGGCTGCAGGAAATGTGCGTTATATTTTGGGTGTTAAACAGCAGTTAAGAGAAATTTGCGATTTTTCAGACCAGTTGACATGTAAATCTATCATCACGTTCTTCAGCAAATTGTAAGGATATGAATTTCTGAAATCCAGTAGGCTTTCTTCACTGAGTTCATCGGTTCCGCGAGCAAATAACAATTTTCATTGCGTTTACAGGCTCACATTCGCAAAAACTAAAAGTCATTGGAGGTGAAGCTACCCTGTGGAGCACTCGTGTGGATAAGACGGATATAATGTCATTAGCTTGGTGAGTACTCTTCACTAATCCTTCTTAGTATTCTTACGAAAATCATTGTTTGATAGGTATTTCAATCGTGAATCAAAATGTTGTTTAAGACAGAAAATTACAAAATGTTTCGTTGATGACATTCAGTCAGAATCTGAACATCGAATCCCTTTAACATAATTGAGAGTTTAGATGACACGATGGAAATAGAATGATGACTTCATCTGAAATGAGTGTTGGCATACACCCAATGAATATCATAAAAAAGTGAATAGTAGTAATTCGTTAGGCTCCTTTAACTATACACCCAACGTCAACAGACAATATACGTAAATGTGATCCGTTAACAATGTAGTTCAACTTCGACTTGACTCTGCTTTCTTTGAATTGCCATATGGAATCATAATGACCAAATATCTAGACTGTGTGATTTTGTGTCCCTCAAAGTTGACTCTCCCCATTTATAAAAGACACAGTTGTCAAGAAATCGAGTGACACGTTTGTCCATTTCATGAAACGTTGTGACATATGATTCACAGATGAGAATTTTCTAGCCAATTAATTTGGTAAAATTACATTCAGTGCATTGCCGACCTACTTTGAATAAGTTAAGACAAAAAGGTAGTGCGCTGTGTTTCAATCCAACTCGTTAGCCTCAATTTTCTGTGTTTCTTCTCATCACTGTGATATATGTGTAGGCCTAGAGGTGCTGCTACAGCTGAACGACTTTGGACGAAATACCCTGACAATATGACCGAATTCGGAAAGAGATTGGATGAACTTCGATGCAGAATGCGCCAGTGAGTTTCTCTCTACATACAGTCATGCATTTTCTGTTAAAATATTGTGGTTCTGTAGCCACCTGTTGCAAGTATGAATGGGACACTGTGATATGGTTATGTCAGTAATCTCTTTTCCTGGACATTCGGTGTCATCGAATAAGCTGCAAGCGAATTATTCCGTGACATACTGTTTGACGAATTGATAACTGATCGTAGCTAATATTACCAAACATGAATGTCATCAGAGATGTTAGACGTGTCATGTCTGAACTCTTGATATAAATACTTTACATCCTCAGTGTAAAAATGAATGTGTAGTGTGTAGATGCTCTCAGTTGTCGCGATCTCGGAATCTTTCAATAATAATAATACCCCGTTTTCTGTGCAGGGGACAGTAGAGACAGTCATCACATAATGTTCAATTAAGTTACCGCTGAACAATTATGTTAATCGTCACCTGGTCTCAATCACCACAATGTACAGGAAGCTAGTTTTAACTGTTTCTAGCACACAAACTGATTTGAATTGATTTTTTTTCAAATAGTATCAGTACAAACAGGGAAAGTTTAGTAGTCTAACTAATTACCTTCTGATTTAGCCAAAAGTATATTTTTCAGTCACGTACTTAATCTGCACACAAAAGCGGCATTTACAGTGAAAGATCCTGGTGCCTGCAATTTCCGAAACATTATGGGGTCGGTTATTCACTTCGGAAGTGCTACGGAATAGGTCTTTTAACACGGAATATTAAGCACAGCAGTGATACGTCTAAAGTCGTCAACAAAATGTCCAGTTTATCAGCTGACAGTCGTTTCAGTTCACTAAGAAATAGCCCTTTTGTAAATGTTGACGGAGAATATACAGATGACGCGTCATTACTGACTCCATCACTGATCACCTTTTGCTTTTCCAAATTTTGTTATACAACACGTGAAACAGTACAGCCGACAATAAATTTATATATGTAGTTGACAACAGACTTTCCTCTATTTCTTTACCGTTCAATTTCAGGAACGGCATACCAGCTCACCCTGTTCTTGGTCCTGGTTTCTGCCCGTTTTAACGCAAACAATTAGGAGAATTCTACTGAAAATTGTAATTTACTTGATTTTGTTTGATATCTGAATGATTTCTATGTAGAATGGAACTCCAATAGACTTCTGATATCCAGTGGAATAAATACATCGTGGTTTAAGTAATATAGTCGCTTTCTGTCTAGAAACACACTTTCTCAGGTGTTTCGCCTAACACACAATGAATCGTATCTCAGTGCAGAATGTTTTATGAGTAATTCTGATGTTTGTGAGATGAGAGCAGCTTTTCTTTGATAATTAGTCTGTAAAGCTGCTTAAAATTATTCCGGTGTAATTAGATTACTGTGTATATTTCAGGTCGCCTAATTTTGCTTTACAGATATAAAAGGACTGTCCGTTAAATACAAAGTACGTGCTTATTAATTGGTTATTAAACACAACCGACAAGATGCGAGATGAAAGTTATCTCTCGTATTATACTTCCAACTAGTACAAAGCGTTCTTACCGACATTTGTAACGCTTTGCTGATGAATATGACGCACAACCGTCTTGCGACTATATCGTCAGGCAGGGAATTTTGAATCCCATAAGTAGATACAATAGTCACAAAAAACTGTTTGAATGAAAGGTATTCGTCTGTCTTTCCGTCTTAACACTTCAGGTAAACATGAAAAATAATTAATTGCCGATTAATTAACATGCAATGCATTTTCCGCTTACTCAAGCTATCTGGGTGAACATGACTTGACAGACTGTCACTTTGAATTTGAATGATGTTGGAAGGCGAAACAGTGGTCTAATTCGCATTAGTGTTTGAAGCATTTAGCCGTGCTTTACAAGCTGCATAACAATAACCACTAAAGATTGTGGAAAATGTACTCAGTTTTCTTTCGACTGTATCGATATCGTAAATTACAAATTATGTAAGTAGCGATTCACAAATTAATTCGCAAATTGTAATACCCGTTTGCCAAAGTCCTTAGCCAGGATACGGATGGTTACAGCTGATTTGACTGTATGAGCTAATATGGATCGTGGTTACCGCAGATAAACTTAGCCTAAAACGAGAGGAATGACTGACATGTGTATACATCACCTTGGTCCGCCTAACTACCAAACACTACTGGTCGATATCAGCGGTATCCAACTAATCATGCCAAACAATCAGTAGAATAGAGCACTTTTGCTTCCCATAGTTACAAATTTGTAAATATTACTGAAACTTCTATTTATACACAACTGGCGAACAGCTGAGTGGTAGTCACTCAATTGTAAGAAATTTGGTTGGTGTTCTGTTGAGTGGCAACCTATTACCACCTGAAAGCTGTTTCATGAATTGATGCGATTAGTCGATTGAATTAGCGTTATACTGAAATATGTTAAATGAACTCAACATTTTGGCGACAGACAGAAGACTTATCCTCTATCCTATAAGCCTAAACGATCCACTTCCAAGAGCATCTATGACTTAATTTGCAGGCATTTCCACCATACAGTAGGTGACTGTATGGAACTGACTTCGGATCTTTGATAATTTGAAATGAAATCGTAAACCTCTCACACACAAATTCGTTTCAGAAATGTTGGTACCAAAGTATATAATTCCAGTGAGTATGATATCACCCAGCAGTGGCGTTCGGAAAACATGTTCAATTCTCATGAGATGAAGCAACTTTGAGGTTTTATTTCCTATGAAAGTAATAATTTCCATTGTTTGAATAACTCCAAGGTGAAGAACACAAACAAAAACAAATATGAAAACCTAGGAGTACTGGACAGCTGTTTAGTCCTAGTTTGGGATTCTTCAGCAGTACGCACCCACCGCCGAGGTTCGAACCCAGGATAGGCTGACATCATGATGAGGCGCTTCAACCAATGAAACAGAATTCACTACGAAATCAGTACTCGAAAATTAATCTGATGCTCACTAGCGACTATCACTATTCAGGCGGTTAACCTGAGGTTCTTGTGGGAAGCCGTGACCGGTAGGGTGCAACAGGTTGAAGGTGAGGCAGCAACTCATCAAACAAGACATTGTGAAGTGATCGCGCTATGTTGTGAATTCGTAGAAGTACGAATTCATGGGCTGGCTGGCCATTGGATCGGGTTCCAGTGACTTCATGGTCTACCAGCTCGCTAGCTTTGTAGCCAGAAGGTCCTTGGTCCGCCAGTTGCTTACTGATGAAGAATGCCAAATTAAGCTGATGAAACAGCTTTCCAGTACTCCTCATTGTTTTCTAATCCTTCTTCAACTGATGTCCACTCATCATAAAATCGTCGAATTAATCAAAAAAAATTCCACACAAAATCAATACTTGATAATTTGAAAACATTTAATACAAATTCACTATACACAAACACCAATCAACACTTCATTAAATTTTGTTTGCTCCAACCTAATTGACTTCAAAAAGTTGAAAGTCGGAAAAATCCCCACTGGATGAAATCCTCATCATTCAAGTTGTGCATAAAATCTTTATCGGTTTGACTCACTGTTGAACAATTAACATGAATAAAGACTTGCACGTTTAATCATTCACTGGTGTTCGAGTGGGCTATGTAAAGTCATTCATGTCTCTAATTGATAGAGATAGTATTAGTGGAAACAGGCCTACTAATCAGGAAACTGTTTATAATTGGACACCAATCCACCCATCCTCCTTGTCAGTTCATATAATGCACACTCTGAAAATCAGACTACTTTGTTGCACTTAGAAAATGTACTTGTGAAAGGAAAATTGCATAACTTCAATTCCAAATGTATTACGCTTTGCTTTTATCTTACATATAATTCTAAATATCATACAACATATATCTTTCTATAAATAATATGCGTGTAAATAACCCTTACTTCATGTGCCGTGTTGCTGACATCTGGAAACTTGCGCCTTTTGATGTAAAATGTATTGAGATTAGACGTTTTTATTATCCCTATTTGTCTTCTTCAAGTGAAACGACTGAGCGCTTTTATCAGTTAGGCGATTGATAAGTGATTAAACAGTGTTGTATTTCCCTACTGAGTCAATTAATTCACAGTGAAGGAAGAATTAAAAAGAATCTCTCTCTGTCTCTCATTTTTACCTGTCGAGTCAACTTGATTTCAGTTAGTCAGGTTCCCTGTCACAATTTAGTGAGCAATTAAGCTAAATAAAAATTACAAATAATTCCAGTTGAACAGCAACTTTTGTGAACCATGATTAACATGAACATAAGTCAAGGAACAAATTTTAAAATCTTTATTATACGCTTAAGACGTTGAGAATGACCAGCAACGATCGAATCCGGTGAAGGTTTCTGTAGAGACGAATTCCGTTCAGTATTATGTCAGCCACTGCACTTATGATTCTCGCTGCTGACACACGGAATGACTATTTATCAATCTGGGTGTGAATGGTAAAAATTCCGTCTGTCGGCCAGCCTCTCAACACTGATATCTCCTACTCTAGAAGCACGGGTCGCCTCAGTCAGACAGACCAATAATGAGGGTGCTTGTCTGAGTGTTATAAAGTGAAGAAGAGGAGTTTCTATTGAATGCTGAATGTCATGTAACTTTTGTTTTCATTTTAAAACGTTCGTAGTGAATTCAGAGCTCCATTGAGATTTAAGCTAATTCATTTGAAATGACTCATTTTGAAACGATAGTTTTGTGAAAAATGTTAACGAAAAATCGTGTGATATTAGTTATTAATCTGTGCCACTACGTTATTTATCGGAGTGACTATTCATGTACAAACGTCAAGTAGGCTGAAAAAATGTGTTTCATTTCGAAAACAAATAGTCGTATTAGTTGTTTTTCTACTCAAATATGTAGGTACTTTGAGGCAAACATCAAAGCGATGGAGGGAAAGATAACAAGACGTACTTCGTATTCTAATTTATGCAGTTTCAGTTTAATCACTGAATAAATTAAACGATGATCTTTGAACTCATAGTTAAATTCTCATGTTAAATAAACAGTTTTGAGTGACTATTTTTTATGAAAT